TGTGTGTGTGTGTTCGTGTGTGCGTCCGTGCAGAAAATAGATAGGAAAAAAGTATCCGAATAGAACGCATCCTATTCGTTTACAAAACATATGCGTTATGTTCGGGGGAAGAAGGTAGTGGGAAGGGCATTAACTATGGCTGCCTGGCTAAAACACATACTTAACGTATTGTGGCATTGTTCGGGGACCTGGCCACATCAGTCCTTGTTCTTTTGTCTTTGTTTTTTTTAAACACTGATTCTTTTATGCCCCACCAATTCTATTACCTGTCAAATCTGGATAGGACATGGCCTTCCAGGCATTTTTATGATCATTTTCGTATTACAGGAAACCCCTTAGCAGCCACCTCCGTGTTCATGCGTCCAACGAGGGAAAATGCGGTGCTGCATCCACTGGCTGGTGGGTGATGCCAGCAAGGAGTCAGCCAGTAGCGTTAGAGAACATGCCATCTAGATCAATCTCTATGCCTCCCCTCAGGTCTCCCTCCCCCTATGAGCATCAGCAGTCTATGCGTAATGCAGACTGGGGGGCCCAACAGGCTACCTCTTGATGTTGGACACGAAGTCTGCCCAGGAATGTACATGAGGGCAATGGGGATGAACCCATGACCTCCTGAATGCCACTTGTGCGCCTTACCAACTGAGCTAGGCCGCTGACTTTTTGAGTGCCCCAAGGCTGCACGCTGGTTGCTAAACACCATTTCAGGCAAGGGACAGTTTGGAACTTTGGACTTTATACTGGTCTCATGCAGTGTTGGTCCCCAGATGGACCAGGGACCTCTCCCCCGACCGGGAGCCTCCCGGTTGGACCGGACGGTCGCCCGTCCCGGTTGGCTGCCGGTTCCCCACAGCGCACTTTTGCTGGGGCCGGGATTTTTATTTTTTCGGCCTAAGTTGTTGTTTGGGGCTCGTAGACCCTACTACCACCGAAAGGAATGGGGACCAGGCCCAGTAGGCCCGTCAATGGGCAAAAGAGTGTTGGTCCCCAGATGGACCATTGACCTCTCCCCCGACCGGGAGCCTCCCGGTTGGACCGGACGGTCGCCCGTCCCGGTTGGCTCCCAGTTCCCCGCAGCGCATTTTTGCTGGGGCAGGGATTTTTATTTTTTTTCGGCCTCAGTTCTTGTTTGGGGCTCGTAGACCCCACTACCACTGAAAGGAATGGGGACCACGCGCAGTAGAGTAGGCCCGTCAATGGGCAAAAGAAAAAGCGGCCAATCTTGGCCGCTGATCTGTATAGATACATCGGCTGCAATTAAAACTATGAAAAGGAGCTGAAGTTCAGCGCAAAAGACTACTGCGCCCTGCCCCCGCCTCAAATTTTGTCCGAAGTATCCCGCTCGTCGACCTGTGACCCCGCTGCGCGAGTTCGCCATCAGCGTCTTGAGTTGCCCGTGCTGCTGTCCACCACGCAAGCCCGCCATTGCGACTCCAGGTGTGTGTCTGTGTGTATGTGTGTGTGTGTGTGTGTGTGTGCATGAGAGAGAGAGAGAAAGAGAGAGAGAGAGAGAGAGAGAGCTGTGAGCCTTCTGTCTTCTTCTTCTTCTTCCTCACCTCCTCTGCCACTACTTCTCCTTCCTCCTCTCCTATTCATCATCCTCATCATCTCTCATACACGTATCA